CGCGCTATTACAGGAATTATCGTTCAACCTTTTCACCACCAGTTTCCTTTTTTCATCACAAAATAGTCACGTTTATAGTCTACCCTATCCTTCAGAAGATTCGGACAAAAATAAACAATTTTTTGAGTAAAAACTGACATTTGACACAAATTTTTCATTTCCAGAAATATTGAAGAATATAAGAAAAAAGCTGGGAACAATTTGGGTGAGAAAGTCTGGTGGTGAAAAGGTCAACAAACTATGACATTTCACATTTATGACATTCTAATCAAATGAATGCACATCTTCACAGAATGGCATTTATGCGAATACAAATATTATGAAATGCCACGTTTAAACAGTATCTCTGCCGTAATTGTGACTCTTTAGATGAACTTATGCTGCAGTATCAGGTGGTTTGGAGCGTGTAATTAATCAGTATAAACAGGATCGATAGGATCGTGATGTGTTTCTACCAGCACGTCTGAACTTATACATGCATTTCTTAAAAATTTCACGAGTAACATCACATTCTTATTATAGTACCACACAAAGGTAACGTGAACAGTGCCACTGAAGAAGCAGCCAATACTTTCTAGGTTGATATGTTTTTTTAATTTTTGACAGTTTATTATCATTTGGAGGAGAGGGGAGGGGGGCTTTTACATAAATAAATTACTATATATTATTAAATTGGTAAGTGAAAGTTCATGTACTTGTTTTGTTGATTTTAGAGCAGCTTTTGATTCGGTGTTATGTAGCATTTGTTTCACTACAGGTTTTTTCTGACCAGACGATGGGACTGATCTTTCTACATAACCAACGACTTGTTTAAATCTTCCATGCCCGATGTTCTAGCAGTAAAATGAAATGAAGTAATCGTACGCCTAAAACCGATTTCATAGTAAATTGGTATAATTATCAAATAAAAACGCCATGAAAAACAGGTCGCTCATCTCTTTTTGTTTAGTTATGGCAGAGAATAACACCTCTGTATCAGTCTGATCTGCTAAAGTTCCATTTAGATATTGTTCAATGGTTCAATATTACACAGAAGTATTTCTGATCTAGCTCAATCAAAGTATAAAAATTGTCCTTACGTATACATACACATACACAATTGAAAGAAACACACCCAAGTGTTATAGAATTTAAATCATTTTCACGAAATTAGCAGATGTTATATTTCACTATTCAAGGCGAAACAATGTGATTACAATGGTTTGGGTTTCGCTGTTAGTTCCTGTCATGATTAAAGTTTTGGTAATCTCAAAGGAAAATACTACCAGCAAATAAATAATAAATTAAAATCAGACAAAACAAAACAAACTGAAATAAATTATATATGAAAAACATAAATACAAAAAATACGATCTTGTTTTGATCAGATTGGATTCAAAGTGAGCTGTACATATCAAATAATTTCAGGAAACCCGATACACAGTGGATATTGAATATACTGTGAATACCCTAGGTTCATAGTCAATAGCTTGATTGTGGTCTTGGAACTATTATGTTAAACATATTACTGTGAATATGCGTGAATTCTAAGTAAAAATTGAAGATCGTCTCTCGGATTATTCACAAATAATGCGGTCGTGTGACACTGAGAACAATGCAGACAGCATTAAACCCTTTAATGTCACACCTTTCTCCAAGCGATTATCGTGCATCGCGTGCTTTAATTATCTAAACGTCCAAAGAAGGTATTCAATGTTGACCGATTTATACATACATTCATGACCCAAAAATAGAAAGGTCATAACCACAATAAATCAATAAATCAGGCTAGTGTAAATTAAGTCAAGTTAATCTTTCGATCTGATCGGTGATTGGCTGTATGCACGTAATCCAATATATGTACTATGTGTGTATTGGTGGCATTTTTTGCACTATTGAATCATTGTCATCATCATTAACAATGATAACATCAACATATACTTACTTTTCGTAGACGCTTGGGGGCGTACTTCATTTTACTCGTGACTTGGCGCATATGACCGATGCAGTTATCCATTCCTTCAATGCAGACAAATAAAAGTCCAACGCGACTGCTTTAAACTAAGATAGTAGGCAATAATGTGTCACTTGGCGATGAGGTCCTAACCTGAAAACAATAAAACAATGCAGTTGGGAGATGGTAATCCAGAATGAAATCTAATCGACAGATGTGCAGAAATTGAGGCTACGACTCGTGTAAGAAATA